AAAATAGCAGCCCCTCTTCCTTCCTCTAAGCCAGAAACCAGAGAGAGGCAGCTCCGCGCTCTTCCGGCTGCCCTGGGCCCTGCCCTCCGCCTTCCCCTGCGATGCCCTCGGGGCAAACATGTCAAGAACACGGCTTCCAAATTCCCCCTCTCCAGCCTTGCCTTCCTCTCCCTTTGTAGGGGAGGGAGGGGCGGGCAGGCCTCAAGTCCCCGGAAGAGCAGGGAGCTGCTGAACTCGACAATGTTGTCTGATAGGGAGTTGGAGAGGGAAGAGAAAGAAAAGAAAAGAAAGAATAAGAGTGAGAGGGGGAGGGGGAGGGAGAGGGAGAGAGAGAGGAAGGAAGGAAGAAAACAAAAGGAAGGAAGGAAGGAAGGAAGGAAAGGGAGAAAGAAAGAAAGAAAGAAAGAAAGAAAGAAAGAAAGAAAGAAAGAAAGAAAGAAAGAAAGAAAGAAAGAAAGAGGAAGGAAGAAGGAAGAAAAAGGAAGGAAGGAAAAGAGAAAAGAAAACGAAGGAAGGAAGGAAGGAAAGGGAGGGAGAAAGAAAGAAAGAAAGGAAGGAAGGAAGGAAGGAAGGAAGAAAAAGGAAGGAAGGAAAAGAGAAAAGAAAACAAAGGAAGGAAGGAAAGAAGGAAAGGGAGAAAGAAAGAAAGAAAGAGAAAGAAAGAAAGAAAGAAAGAAAGAAAGAAGAGAGGAAGGAAGGAAGGAAAAGAGAAAAGAAAACAAGAAGGAAGGAAGAAAAGAAAGAAAGAAAAGACTTTCTGAGAGTGATTGGGAAAGAGAGAGAGGGAGAAGAAAAAGGGAGGGAGGGAGGAAGGAAGACATTCTGAGAGAGAATGGGAAGCAGGGAGAGAGAGAAGAGAGGGGAAGAGGGAGGAAGGGAGGGAAGGGAGAAAGAAAGAAAGAAAGAAAGAAAGAAAGAAAGAAAGAAAGAAAGAAAGAAAGAAAGAAAGAAAGAAAGAAAGAAAGAAAGAAAGAAAGAAAAGCAAGCTCATGCATCCGGCGCAACAGGCCTTACCTCCCT